AATATTCAGATGTTTTTCCCGACGACTTGCCTGGACTTCCTCCGAACAGGTAAGTAGAATTACGAATTGACCTTGTGCCTAGTGTTGCTCCAATTTCAAAGACTCATTATCGTCTTGTGCCAGATGAGATGAAAGAAATGATGATCCAACTGCAGGAATTACTTGACAAAGGCTTTATTCGACCAAGTACCTCTCCTTGGAGTGCTCCAGTGTTGTTTGTTTAGAAGAAGGACGTTTTGATGCGAATGTATATTGATTACCATGAGCTAAATAAGGTGACTATCAAGAACAAGTACCCACTACCTTGCATTGACAATTTATTTGATTAACTTCAGGGTGTTAGCTATTTCTCAAAGATTGATTTGAGATCTGACTATCATCAATTAAAAGTTCACGAGCAAGATGTATCGAAGACTACGTTTCGTACTCGATATGGGGATTATGAATTCCTTGTCATGCCATTTAGTTTGAAAAATGCCCCAGCCATATTCATGGATATGATGAATCAGGTATGTCATCCAATACTCGATAAATCTATCATCGTATTCATTGATGATATTCTAATTTATTCCAAATCTGAAGCTGATCATGTCATTCATATTTGTGTGGTATTAGAATTTGTTCGAAAGGAGAAACTATTTGCTAAATTCTCGAAATGTGAATTTTGGCTTCGTCAAGTTCAATTTCTTGGCCATGTGATTTCTGGTGACGGTATATCCGTATATCCTACCAAAATCAAATCCATTCAGAATTGGGAAGCGCCTCGTAATGCTTCTGAAATTCACAGTTTCTTGGGTCTTGCGGGATATTAACCAAGATTCATTAAAGACTTTTCTTGTATAGTTGTACCTATCACCAGTCTTACAAGAAAGGAAGAAAAGTTCGAATGGGATGAAGCTCAAGCAAAAGCTTTCTCGAATCAAAAAGATCTTTTGACTCATGCTCCAATCTTAACACCTCCAGAAGGTGATGATGATTTCTCCATGTATAGCGATGCTTCTAGGTTGGGACTCGGTTGTGTGTTGATGCAACATGGTAAAGTAATAGCCTATGCCTCAAGACAACTGAAAGAGTATGAAAGGAATTATCCCACCCATGATCTCAAACTCGCTCCAATATTATCACTTCCAGAAGGTGATGATGATTTCTCCGTGTATAGCGATGCTTCTAGGTTGGGACTCGGTTGTGTGTTGATGCAACGTGGTAATAGCCTATACCTCAAGACAACTGAAAGAGTATGAAAAGAATTATCCCACCCATGATCTCAAACTCGTTGCAGTAGTATTTTCCCTAAAACTATGGAGACATTATCTCTTTGGTATGAAATGCTAATTGTTTACCGACGACAAAAGTCTCAAGTGTATATTAAGTCATCAAACTCAGAATATGAGACAACAACGAGCTATGGAGCTGATCAATGACTATGACTGTGAAATCCTATACCATCCTGGAAAAGCCAATGTAGTTGCCGATGCACTCAGCAGAAAGGTTTATCATAATAGTGTGTGTGTGTGTGTTATACTATTACTCACACTAAAGTGAAGTTCACTATATTTGATGAATTAGATAAATAGCAAGAAGAGGCTTTAACACCAGAAAATGTAAAGAGATAAGGGATGACACATTATGCTGATATTTTACTGGATGATCCATGTGGGCTGAAAGTATTTAAGAATCAGCTATGGATTCCAAAGGTTGGCGGATTAAGACAGAAGATTTTAGATGAAGCCCGTAAGTCTAAGTTGTCAATACATCCTGGTACAAGTAAAATGTACTATGATGTAAGAGATGATTTTTGGTGGCATGGATTAAAAAGAGACATTGGAAGATATGTGCAAGAATGCTTGATATGCTTACATGTCAAAACAGAGCACCAAAAGCCTTGTGGAACTCCAGAAAGTCTTAGTGTTCCCGTGTGGAAATGGGAAGAACTATCTATGGATATTATTACCAAATTGTTAAAGACCGCTAAACAGCACGATAACATTTGGGTAATTGTCGACCGCCTGACTAACAATGCACATTTTCTCACCATGCGTGAAACAGCTCCAATGGAGAAATACGCACAAGTATACTCGGATGAAATTGTTACGAGACATGGTGTGCCACTAAAGATTATTTCCAATCATGATACTCACTTCACTTCTCATTTCTGGGCAAGTATGCAATGTGAATTGGGATCTCGATTTGGTCTTAGCACAACTTATCATCCCCAGAAAGATGGTCAGACGGAAAGAACAATCCAAACAGTAGAAGATATGCTTCGTCTATGTGTCTTGTAGTTTGGTGGTAACTGGGATAAGTATTTACCTCTTGTCGAATTTTCTTATAATAATAGTTACCATACTTCTATCAAAATGCCACCATATGAAGCACTATATGGACGTAAATGTCGTACTCCATTATGTTGGCGTGATATAGGACAGAAAATCCTTAGAGGCCTCGAAATGATTCAAGACACCACCAACAAGATTCAAATTTTACGAGAAAGAATGAAAGCGGCCCAGGATTGACAGAAGTCCTATGAAGAAAAGAGGAGACGACCGATAGAATTTCAGGTGGGTGATTTCGTAATGCTGAAGGTACCCCCTTGGAAAGGCCTTATGCAATTTGGGAAGAAAGGAATGTTGAGTCCCAGATTTGTTGGACCTTTCAAAATCACCCAGAGGATTGGTAAACAAGCATACCTCCTCGAATTACCGGTTGATTTGGCAGGTATTCATGATGTGTTTCATGTAAGTTATCAGGGTAAATGTTTAAGCATATATGATGAATCGGTTCCATTATCCGATGTGAAATTGGATAATAAGTTAAAATATGTAGAAGACCCTTAAGAGATTGTAAATGAAAGAATGATTGAGCCACGTAATAAAGAAGTAGAGTTGGTGCTTGTCAAGTGGAAACACCATCGAGGCCTGAATTATACTTGGTAAAATAAGAATGAGATCAAAGCGAAATATCCTCATTTTTTTAATCGATGTAATCTCTGGGAAGAAATCCACAAAAAGAGGAGGTATTTGTAACATACACGTTTTGAAATCGTGTTTTGTAATGAAAAATATTATGAAATATTATGTGATTTAGTGTATTGACTTCTAACAGATAGTTTTTAAAAGAAATAAAGTAAAACTATGTTTAGAATCACTCGGAAAACATAAGAAGTCTTATGAGATTCCAATCTAATGTCAAATGTCAAAATTTAATGAAAATATAAAATTTGAAATAAGTAAAATTTTATTATTGAAAGTTGTAGTGAATCTCGTTAGAAATATTTTGGTGAAAACCTCATTGAAATCCGAGTTGTAACGAAGAAGTTATGATTATTTGAAGTTTCGCTACAGAACCGACACGACGCCGAATGATGTAAAAAGTGTGATGAGAATAAAACTCTAGATCGATTAGATCTTTCACAGGTATGATTATAGAAATCGAACAAGTCAAAAAAAGTATGAAAGTAAGCACAGGATGCAATCAAATGTATGCTTTTGATTCAAAATAAAGTCACGTCTTAGCAGAGCTCGATAAAGAACTTCTGCTATAGAGGTGAGCTAGGGTTTACAAAACTTAGAGCAAATAAAATAATGAAAGCGATAACATCTAAGACTGCATGCATGCAGCTTATATACTAAACCCTAGTACAAAACATGCACGGTTGGACAGGCCCAATACCGGCAATGAAAACTGGGCTAAGGACCGAACCCATGACGCAATATATTAATCCCAACAATCTCCCCCTTTGCGTCAAATGAGGCAAGAGATCACTCCTTCTGTGGTGGCTTCACTGTTTCTACAACTTTGAACAGACGAGGAATTATTGCAAGAACTATCTATCGAAACTGTATGTACCACCTCAGCATGTCAGTGAATAATTTCTTATCAGCAACACTGTTCTGATCACACCTCTGGATGATCTGTAAGATATGCTCCAGGCATGATGTTGAGAAGAGGTGTTTGTCAAAAAGAGTGAATAGACATTTTTGACCTTCTCCCCTGAGAAACATAACAGTTTGGTAATCTGTATCAATCTTCCCCTTGACCATAGTGCTGACATTGCCTGCCTTGCCCATAACTTTGATTGTAGTTCGTTTGTGAATGGCTGAGGCAATCTCCTGGTCCATCTTTTCCACTTCGTGTATGTAGCAAACAAGCATACGCTTGACATGATCAATTATTGGCTGGTACTCCTTAGGATTTGACAGAAGAATGTTGTTGAGGAGTATCCAGTCATGGGGATTTAGGTTCGGCAGATCAGCGAGGGTGAAGTTGTGAACCGAGCCTTTAGAGCCTCGAGTCACTTTGAATTGAACATTAACAAACTTCCCCGCTGAGTCAGGCTTCAAAACATTAACAGTTGTAATCTTCTTCAAACGCCAGGTCAAGTACTGGGGTTGAGCAAACTCCAGGTAGAACTCCAACAAATCCCTATCTACCTTCGGGTCTGGTGAAGGAACAACAGCAGTCGAATTAAAGTAATGGAAGACAAATGCCTTTCGAGTGATTGGCATGTCAAACTGTGCATCCTTAGAGTTCTCAAGCCCAAAAGACATAACTGGCTCAAGGCAAAGAATGCTTGGCTCATCGATTGCGCATCTCTAGAGCGAAACTGCAGTCCACACAGGAAACATGGACTTTTTCTTCTCTAGAAGCTCCGTCTCCTTTTTCTTTCGCTCTAGCTCAGCCTGTTGTTTCTTGAGTTTCTCTTCCAGCTATTTTTCAGAGAGATTTGTCTTTTGAAAAGGATTTTTAGGATTTTCAGCATATATGTCATCCTCATCATCTGTGTCATCTTCTCCAATTTTCTTCTTCTTCTTCCCTTTGTTACTGACCGAAGCTTCATTACCCTTTAGTTTAGTTGATGGTCACGGTTCAGTAGGAGGTTGAGTTTGCTTTTCTTGAGTTTGCTTTTCTCCCCCTTGTTTCGGCTGGAAACCAGTCACCGGAACACCCTCGATACGATTAAGGATGCCTAATGCTGGCCTAAGTTTATCAGCCAGATGTCGTCAGGTGGCAATGCTGATGATTGGATCGTGTGCTTCAAGGATATGAAGGAGGATGGAGTGAACATCAGCCACCAAACTCCGAACGACTTCCTTCTCTAACTTTAGATCATTAAGCTCAGTAGTAGTAGTACACAACTTGAGGTTTTGCATTTTCAGCTGTGAGGTGCGCCTGTCAAGGTCATCCATGATGCGATTCTCTACAGCCAATTCGGCCTCCAATTGAGTCAAACAGACATTGACGTTAGCATGTAGAGTTGTGTTGGCTGCTTCAATGGCTTGTCGTCCGACTTCAAGGTTTGAGTTTTCAGATTGAAGAAACCGTTGAAGGTTTTCTACTAAAGCGTTGACAGTTTGAGCGTTCTTAGCAGTAGCAGCAGCCTGCAAGGAATCTAAAAACAAGTGTGCTTCAGAAACTAGTTTATCAACCTTTGCGATCGCTTCCTTGCATTCTTTAGTCGAAGCATCAACAGCGATTGAGGCTTGTTGACATTCGGAAGTAGAGGCTTCGATTGTCTTGGTTGCAGAAGATAATGCGACACTATGTTCAGTAACAACGGAGGAGAACAAGGCCTTCAATGCAGCTTCAGAATAAGCTCCAGAGGTAGAGGATGAGAGTAGTTGATCAAGCTTCTCATTTATTGCCTTGAGATGACGTTTCGTAACAGGCTCATCATCATCATCATTGCTCTGCACTCGGTAAGGACTGAAATACATGGAATCAAATTCCAAGTCCTCACCGCCTAGAATATAGGTTGTTTCAGTGGATTGTATGGGAGATAAGGGTTTTGAAGTAGGTAGAGGTTCGATAGTGACAGGTGGTTTGGTTGTTACTGGTGGAGTAGGGGCGGTAGATTGAGCACCTGTTGTGGTAGTGGTAGTGTCTGTGAATATGGGAGTATGGATGGTAATTGTAGTGAATGGTTGAGTGGGTGGAATGGGAAAAATGGGAGGGATAGATACAGGGATGGTTACAGGTGGAGGTGAAGGAGAATGAAAGCAAACTAGAATTTTCGGGGTAAGGGAGCGAGGCGGAGTATCACCTCGGCCCGAAGCCTCATCATCAGAGCTTTCGCTCTCAGATTCTGAAGGAGAGGCAATCTTATGTTGGGGAGGAACATACTCTGAATCTGAGTCACTCGAAGATTGTAGTATGAGCCTCCTAGCGGGCTTCTTCAGCTTCTTCAGTTTAGGAGGTGAGGTAACAGCTCTATCATACTTTCGCTTCTAAGGGGTTTTCCCTTTGGTGGGTTTGGAAACTTGTGCCTCTTTTTGGGTTTCTGGTTTCTTGCCTCTTTTTGCAGGTTTGTTAGCCTCGTCAATTGAGCGAACCATGGCTGGGGTAAGCTCCCTCGGACCTGAAGACGGATGCTTCATGTATTGTTGGAGAACGTTACTCGAGGCAAAGATAGGAGCTAGCATGGCCTCCAGAATCGATCCAATAAATGAGTACTTGGTGGGATCGGTGATAATAATTTTCATAGTATGAAAGGTAGTAATGGAGGAGAGAAGAGAATCCACCATGATTGAAACATGAAGGCGATCCATTATCCAGTTGGTGATGATTGTCCAAAATCTCCCACACGAGATCTTAGAGTGCCTCGATGAAGAGACCAAGCTTTGTACCAACTGCTGCCTGATGATAGTCCTAAAATTTAAGTTAATCCCATGGTACAACCCATATAGCACAGTCATGAAAGACTTGCTTGCACCATCTGAGCCAGCGCTTCACTCAGAGAGTCCTTTGAAAAGCAGCGTGAAAAGGCCATTCCATTGAGGAGGAAGGCAGGACTTCTTGAACTTTTTGATTGTAGTAAGTGTTTTGGTGTATCCCATCTGATAAAACATAGAAATCAATTGACCAGTGGTGATGGATTCAGGATTTACCAGAGATTGATCTTGAGAAAGACCAATTAGGGCACAGAAGCGGTGCTTGGAGATAGAAGTCTTCTCATTGGGGATTTCGAAGTGAATCCTTTCATGAACCTTGTCATAGTAGGTAGTAGAGTAGACAAGAGAAAGGCACGACATTTGAACAACTTCTACCATGGTGAGAACTTTGACGCGAGGTGAGTATTTGAGACACTCAGCAACGTACAACATGTAAGGCTCATAAACAAACAGAGTGAGATCGATGATCAGGTTCTGTTGGGGTTTGATTATGAGAAGTGGTTGACGAATGGAAGTATCATGAACTGACGAAAAATCTGCCATTGCAGTTGCTTGAAGAAGATGATGAACAGTAGGAGAGATCGTCGTTGTTCTTTGAGAGAATTTGGGAAGTGATAAAGGTTAAGAGTACCGTTTGAATCCGTTTTATACATACAAGTAGGAGAGAGAAAAATCCGGCTGAGATCATCGATTATTTCAAAAATAGCGTCTGACTTGACGGGTGAACAGTTGGCATACCGAGGATGACGCAGGAAAGAGAAAGGTCTTTTGTAGCACCTGGTTCCTGGTACGTATGACCTATCTAAGTACTTTACATTTTTAGCCTTGGACTCGATGAGTTATAGGTCCGAATCGCCGAGTAGAGTCGGGATTTTGAGCACGTTTAAGAAAGCGACTTGGCGAGTCCACATTCTAGACTCGGTGAGTCCCCCCTGTCTGGATGAAACCCTAATTTCAAGGGTTTGCACCCTATTTAAATCAACCTTATGCGCCCCAAGCCCGACTCCTTCACCCTTAGAGCTCCTTATGTCGACCTAACCCCCTTTTCTTGTGAGATTGAAGTGTTTTGGTGTGATTTCTTGAAGATTTTGAGATAAGAGGAGAGTAGATCAAGAGGAGACGAAGGAAGCCATATATCTTGGTGTTATTTCATAGATTCATTGAGGTATAACTCAGTTTCCTTCTGTTTTTATGCTTAAAGTCCCTTAGAACACCATTAAAGTTCTTCTTGAGCCATTTTCAAAGCTTGATTATGGATTAGGGATTGTAATGAGTTGATTAACTTCTAGATCTAGACTTGTTTGAGCTCCAGAAGCTCAGATCCATGGCCTTTATGGGAGTGAATCGCTTGAATGTCCTAGATCTACCATTTTAGCCTTTATTAAGCCTTAAATCCTCATCCTATGCATGTATACACATAAATTTGGAAACTTTACCTGTAAAAGTTACCCTAAGAGCCCAGATCTATGTATGGTATGAACTGGATTCAAGCAGAATCAAGTTGTAGTAATTACATGTGAACGACTCGACGAGTCGTTCATCGGACTCGACGAGTCAAGTCTCGAGTCCCTGAGTTTTCCCCTTTTCCATTTTTGCTGAGTGGAGTTGTGAGTCATGGGTGGACTCAGTGAGTTGGAAGCCAGACTCATCAATGGAGGGACTCGGTGAGTCAATTCCCGGACTCGGCGAGTCCAAGGTAATCTTCTTACCTCAAGAATAGACTCGGTGAGTTGTTCATACAACTCGGCGAGTTGTTCATACAACTCGGCGAGTCGCAACTTAGAGTGTTCATCAGATGAAGATGAACTCGACGAGTTGTTCATGCAACTCGGTGAGTAGGATGAAGGACTTTTGGGCATCAGTTTAGAAGGAGAACTCGTCGAGTCAATGCCTAAATCGACGAGTAGAGACGGGATTAAGGACAATCGAATGGGTAGGGACTCGACGAGTTGGCAAGCCAACTCGGCGAGTCGGGTCAACTAGAAGTTGACTTTGACTTGGACTTTGACCTGGTCATGGGTAAAATGGTCATTTTACCCTAGGTACAGCTAGCAGTGTTTGACTGATCGTTTTGTGGGAATTATAGCCGGAGGATTTCCGGAGCAACAACAGTGGCAGCAGTCAAAGGATTCCCACACAGTTCAGCAGCTACTACGAGGTGAGTTACCTTCCAGTAGCGGTGGGTCTAAGGCCACAATATCGGCCCACCAGTAGGAGACGTATGATAGATGATTGTCTTTGCGATATCATCTAGGTTTGCTACTACCTGATATGTTATATGCTAGCATGATATGTTGTATGTGATAGTAGTAGAGTTCGGTTGATAGGACCGAAGGGTAGTCAGACACCCCAAATACATCTGACAGTATGTGAGGATAGTTTGCATGCTGGCGTGTTATGTTATATGCGATAGAGGTAGTACGAGGGGACCAATCCCCGAGTTCAGTTGTTAGGACCGAAGGGTAGTCAGCACCCCATAATAGCTCGACATGGGTAGGTCAGCACCCCAGAATGGCTTGACACGAGAAGGATGGCACCCCAGAATGGTCGTACCGGGTAGGTCAGGCAGCCTAGAAATGCTTGGCAGTATGTATGTGATATGATTGTATGGTATGTGGTACGATGGCAGAACTCACTAAGCTTCGTGCTTACAATTTACAGTTTTGGTTTCAGGTACCTCTTCGGTGAAGGGAAAGGAGTTGGCGCGGTAGCGACACATCATACGCACACACACCATTTTCCGCATTTATGGGATTGTTCTGGGATTTATACTCTAACATTTGAGTGATTACATGTTTTGGTTTTCAGACATAGTAAATGTTTATGAAATGGTTTGATCATACAATGTTTATTTGCAAATGATTTTACTAAATATTTATTGAAAAATGAAATTTTTGGACGTGAAAAATGGGTCGTTACAAGTTGGTATCAGAGCCCTGGTTTGAGGGATTCGGACACACCTTCGGGGGTGTCTGAACTCAAATCGAGGGATTAAAAGATTTTGAAAAAGAAAATGTTTTCCCAAAGTTAAGTACAGAGTTTTGAGAAAGCACGAAGTGTGTGATGTGCGCGACCAACCGAGCTCAAGTAAGTATTCCCCAAAGTACCCATACAAGTTTATGTTATGTTTATCAATTTCCGTAGAACAACATGCTAGAATAGGACTAAGGATCTAGGAGTGATGCCTTATGTGCCTGCTTTATGTGTTTCAGCTTATATGAATTGCTTGCTAGTATTGAGTAGACATCAATAAGATAGCGTGTTTAGGTTATGCCTGATAGTATGAGTTTAGCATTGTATGCTTGTGCAGTTTCTCCCTATGAGAACAGATTTGATTGAGATTGTTCCCTTCTGTCTGAATGCTACTTGCTTTGTCCTTTGTGGGACTCTGAGTAATGGGAGTTAGCCATTAGGTGAATACGTCACGTCACATGTGAACATGGTTGAATAATATTATAGTGCTAGATTTGACCCTATTGCGCAACTCTTGTTTGAGTCTAACCGTTGTAGAAGCGAGTTTGTTACTCGAAGGATTATCTGAGCCTCATCACATGTGATGGTATTCAGGTAATGGCCAATTGGCATTACAAGGAGGCCTTCAGCAGCTGAGGACCGGGTAGGGCGGAGTCATAGATTTCCCTATGGCAAGCGTAGGATAAGTATAGCAGTGATCAGCAGTAGTGAAAGGGAACTGGTGGAGTTGAGGCAGCCCTTGAAGAAGGTACGGATAGATGTGGAAGGTAGTATGGGCCCGTACTACTGAAAGTAGAGGATCCGTACCCAAACTAAGGAAGGCCGAGATAAGACCGGGGAACTTGTTGTGGGTGTGATCCCTTAAGGGGTATTAGTATCACTAACGGGTGTTATTTATGTATTGCAGAATGGTGGTACTACGATCGAGGCCGACAGTTGGCAGTTCAGAAGAGGGATCGGGTTCGGGATTAGGTTCCGAGCCAGTAGATGAGAGGCTACGCGAGTTTTATCGCGTCAGTGATCACCAGAGGCATACTTGAGTCGACCCCCGTCATCTTCGGGTCGATCAAGGAGGGGATAGTTAGTTGATGGAGGATCGCCTCAGGGCGTTTAGGAGCAACATGGCATCTGGCCAGTCGGGATCTCGCACACTGTTCTTTAAGGACTTCAAGGGCAGTGGTGCGCCGGATTTTCATGGGGCGAAGGACCCCATAGCTGCCAAGCGATGGATTGCAGACATTGAGTCTGCACAGTTGACTAGCTTCTTCCCTGAGGGGTCGAAGGTGAGGTTTGCAGCAGGGTGTTTATGAGATCGAGCTAGGGATTGGTGGGAGTCCGTTGGTGACTCGTTGGGAGCCTCGGTTGTCGAGGCTATGACATGGTTGGACTTCGTGACCAGGTTCAGGGCAGAGTTTGCATCGGCTGTTGAGCTTCCGCAGCTGGCCAGGGAGTTCTTAGATATGAGATAGATGATGGAGACTATGGTGGAGATCACCGCCAAGTTCCGGGAGAGGGCATTGTTGGTGCCCCAATATGCGGGTGATGAGGATATGAGGAGGACCTGCTACCATGACATGCTCCGAGCTGATATTCGGGAGCATGTCAGTTTTTCAGCTTGCCCCACCTTGGACTCTATGATTGCCACGGCGAGGGAGAAGGAGATAGATCTGGAGCACATCCGGAAGAGGAAGACGGAGGAGGGGAAAGCAGGAGGGGCTTTGGGGAAGAAGCCCAAGGGATCATATGGTAGGCCGAAAGGCCAGTCAGGACGGAGCCGC